CCCCAGCAATTTACTTCTTTTAACAAAATGCAGATTTTGAAATGCTGTACCTGTAATGAGTGATAATGTAATTGGATAAAAGCTGTGAGGATGAATGGAGCTTTAAAGGTCACTCTTGTAAGAAGAATTAATGTGTTATACCATTAATAAACCATGGAAAACTGTGGAGCAAAAGATAACATACTTAAGTTATTGTTAATGACATAGAGTTCACTGCTGTATATCTCTCAGCTACAAATATAGAAAGTGACTTTTTGAGGTTGCTTAGCAGTATCACTGTGCATACTGTATGTATAAGATAAGCAGTCTTTAACTGGTGCAGGAGCTGGACGAACATAGCCTACTTCTAACAAAGGTTTATCCTTTAATGGAGGACTAGAGGAATGAAAGGCTTGTGAACACTCTACCAAGTCTTTTTGTGCTAACTGCTAGGTTAGATCCAACCAAAGCTACAGGCAGTAAAACTCATTACCTGTTGAAACTATTTGGTGATCTTAAAAATGTGAGCATGAAATTTCAAGTCACCCTCGAGTAGGAGCTACGCCACGAAAAATTTTGGTAGCATTTTTATCAAAGTTACTAAGATCCCTAAAAACGGTAGAGAAAGTGGATCACTTTTGTCTTGAGAGATGAATCTCTCTACAAAAAGTCACTGGGAAACATGCAGTTATTTGTCAAACAGTTGTTTCCACCATTTGAAAGATTGGAACTGTCAAGGCGAGGCACAAGTTGTCTGTCCTTAGGTGTGCACAGCCTACCTTGCTGGGATGCAGTTGAGCTGTCACTTTTCACCACCACTAACTTCAAATTAAAACCGTTCTCTGAAAGCACTTCTTCAGGCTACTTCGTTCCCATGGCATAGAGAAATGCTCAGATATTGTTCAGTTGTCTTTGGAGAACGTAAACTTACAGCTTCCTATGATTAACAGTATAGCTGCATTCGGGCAAACAGATATGTAGTCCTTTTCTAGAGCTGTTCTTACAGCGTATAAATTATGCTACAGACTGAGCAGTCACAAATGTCGTGGCTTCATGTATGACTTTAAATCCAAGCATTTCTTTTCGGGAACAGGCATATGTCCGTGTACTAAAAACAGAAACAACTTCTCTCTGCCCTTTGCCATTAATCTGCAACATCTCTATGCTAGTTTGGCAATCCTTGTAACTAAGTGCATTTTATGTAATGCAGTTCCCCTCTCTGTCAATAATTCACCACCTACCCTAAACAACAATAATTCACATTCAACTCGCTTCTATATTAATCATTTCCCTGCACACCAGCATCTTGGCAGCTACTGAAAAACATAAGGAGTGCTTGCTTTTATTCACTGTCATGTGCCAAACTGTCTCAAAGATAGCAGTATTCAGGAAAAGCCAAATAGTCTGGAGAAGGGCATGAATTCCAGTTCCTAGGCAAATTCGGCTGTATTACAGCTTGAAAGTATTATACCTAGCCTAATCAAGATTACAACCAGCAGTAATACTACTGTTTGTTTGTTTGTTTGCTTCCTTTTTAATTTATTCTGACTACATGCAAGCTTGATCAGTAACAGATGCAAAGTGGGGAAGAAACCAAGCAAGTTGATAAAATGGAGGTTAAAAAAAAAAAAATCAGCTGGTAGCACTGTGCTGGTGCAGGTTATATCCTTCCTTATGCTGGGAAAGCTGGAATTACTGGAATTCCATTGGCTGGGAGTTGCTGAACTGAGTCATTTGATAAAAGCAATGTGGATCAAGTTATTTCATATAAAACTCTCAGGGTTCCTGGGTATTTAGCCAAAAGCTAACTGTTAGTAAAATTAACAACAGTCAAACTGCACAGAAACTTTTATTTCTAGTTTTTGCGTGCCAAAGAAGACAGGAATACCAGTCCCATTCTGTCTGCAGTCTAAAAAAACAACAATAAAAACCCAAACCAAACTAAAATCCTGACAGCAGCGCAACACTGAACTAATCTGACATCAGCTCCTTCCCCTGAAATGTTTTAAGCAGCAAGACAATGTCCTACGTTTTTTGGCAATCAGTGGATCAGATAGAAGAGTCTAGCAATACAACAAGGATGTGTAATCTGACATGATTAGACAAGGCTCTTTAGGAACAGAACATTCATAATTGAGACAAAGAAAGAGTATTAATAACACTTTCCTAACACGGCAGTTAGCCATTTTATATTTCCTTTCTTTAATCTTAGTGTTTTTCAACAAATCATGGGATTTAATAGCGTGTTTTGGCAGATTAGAGGATTTATGGCCCAGATGTTTTTTGTTCTAAAAATGGATTAGGGTGTAAAGTTTGCTGGAATCCATGGAACATGTTGAGGCAAGCCGGTCATTTTGTGTGTGATTAGTGCCTGCCTTCTGTCTCACAGTCCCTCCATCTGTCACAATTCACCAATGGATCTGGTTAGATTTAGCCTCATGTCACAAACAGAAGTCCCTTTTCTGGGCAATTTCATATTACAGATTCATTTTATGCCGTTTTTATGCCCTAGTTAAAAGACAGAAAGAAGTGTGTGCGTGCGCGCGTGTGTGGGGATGTGGAGAGGGGGAGGGAGATTGATAGATATTAGCCTCTCCTTTAATGTTTGAAAAATAGACTGGGGCTTGGAGTCTCCCATCAGTATTCTATCCTACAAATCACATGCAGATCATAATAAGTATAATCTACAGTACGCTAAAGGAAAAAAATGACAAAGTGTCACATTTAAAATTAAATAGTATTAGCTGTGCCGGTGATGCTTGTAACATTTTAAAAGGAAATAATTCAGTGACTACTAAGGCTAAGCCCTAGGCTGTGAATTTGCAGCAAAACAGTGGACATTTGACCTACTATTAGCAGCATGAATAGGAGTGGGAATGTAGGTCCGTGTAGCTGTGGTTTCTTATACATTTGTGAATGACAGGTGGTGGTGGGGAGCATGCAGTGGATGAGGTTTCTCTTCCCAGCCATTATGCATTTCATATCTATAGCAAACCACCGCCACCTGTGGTTTATTTTAATGTATTCACAAGTTTTAAGAAGTAGAAGAATGAAATAGTCTATTTTTAAGAGTTTGGGATTGCTGGCGTGATCAAAGCTTCCCCTAACTCTTATCCGGTTACATTCTGCTGCATACAAACCACAGGGCTAACCTCTGCAGCGTCAGGGCAGCGCTGAAACTAGTGGGATCAAGTATCAGGACGATGATTTTGGCACTGAGGTTTCTCATGCTTTCTATCCAGGTGGCTCTATCATAACAGTAACAGAATTACAAACGGGTTTCTGGGCATTACCTTTTAACTCTTTCTCGTTAAGAATGATAAACTATTGGTGCATTTCATGGATGAAAGCTAAAGTGTTTTCTTGTAACTTTCTTTTTTTAAGATATCCTTTCTTCTATCACGTCGTCAGGTTATTTAAATGACCACGATGCTGTTACCAAGGCAATCCAGGAGGCCAGGCAGATGAAGGAGCAACTTCGGAGGGAACAACAGGTGCTGGATGGGAAGGTGGCCGTTGTGAATAGCCTGGGTCTCAATAACTGCAGGACAGAAAAGGTGGGTTTCTGAGACTCCCTTTGCAGAGATTGCGTTTGGCTTT